TGGGAGGAGCATTTCGCACTTTCGCTAGTTCTCTTTGCTAGTTCAAGTTAATTACCAAGTTACACTGTGGTGAAACTGGTAAACTCCGACGAAGCTGCGGTATGGTACGGGTGAGCACCTTTGGTTACCGAGAATTGTTACAGGGAATCACAGGTCTTAACAAGGCGGCCTGAACTAGCTTCACTGCAAACTTTTTTGGTGCCCCCACCAAGCCGAACTGTGTCTAAAAGCGCTATGAGGAGGAACGCAGTGATGAATGTGACCCCGCCCGCATGAACTTCGTGGAGTTTGTCTTTAAATAGTTCTCTAGGGACTGATTACTATGACCACTCCAGATCAAGCTCCAATACGGGACAAGCTGCTTATAGTTGACCTTCAGCTTGGAAATGAGGGCACGTCTGAGAAAGCCCCAGCGAGGGATCGCATTTGGTTTGAGAAAAAATTTTTTGATGGCTGATTTTTCCTGTTTCACGTGTGCTATCCACATCGCTGGGAGACTCTCACTGAAGTGGTGGCGGGGTGCGGGGAAGGAGGTGGGGAGGTTGTCGTTGCTCGTCGACCCCTCCTAGTTGGCGGTGCAGCCAAAGCCTTATACAACTACAATTTCCAATAGTTAGTGGTTGTTTGATGGCGGCCCCTACCCTATCCTCCGCTTTGGGGCCTTTTTTAAAATAAGCCGTCCGTTCGACTTCCAGCATGGTTCAGGAGGTGTTGGCGCCAGTGCAATTACATTACCTCGTTACGTTCGAAGGAATATTGTGCACTAGTCGTGTGCGTGGAGTCACATCTAGTGACGAAAAGCCAACCAATGAGACAGGGCAGTGACCAAGCGACTCCACCTATATGGTTGTTGTGGAATTATGTCCGTATATGAGGTCCATATAAGTAGCGGCGCCAACGTGGGAACTCGTGTTGCTGGCCGCACGCCTTCATTGTAAACTCCCAAACGACCAACACCTCGACCCCGTGAGCTTGGAAATGGATAAATTGAGACCAGCTGAATTTCAAAACAATCATAGTCGAAAAATGTGTCATCGTACTGCTTCAAATTTAGAATCTGAATCGATGGATAGGAGCGAAACGTTTGGTTCTCTACGGTGCCATTATTAACGTTCTAGGAACTTTCGCTACACCAACGGTGGCCACCTACCTAGGAGCCATTCCCATGGTCATTCTACGGTTTGTCATGGGTTTCGGTCAGGTACTACTACACTTATCACTCCAACTTACTATCTTACTATCTTACTTAAATTCGCTTGAAGATTAGTTGACGAGGTGATAATATGGGCGGAGTCCGACCTCTCGATTGTTACGTTTTCCTGGCTCGCACACACGATTAAGCTGCAATTAGAATATTTCAAAGGTTGTTTCAGGGACTTCTCTGGCCATGTATGAGTGTCCTTGTGAGTCACTGGTTCCCACCAACCGAGAAGAGCACAGCGTTAGCGATCGCGACAACAGGAAATCAGGTTTTGTGGACAACTTTCACTATGCTGTATATGGGTCTTGCAACGAGCAGTCGCGTCGCGTTTCTCGGATGACTATGCCGTCTCCATCTCGGATTCTGCGTAGCTGGCTTACTCACCTCAGTAGTTAGCAAAAATCTTAGTTGAGCTTTGCTGGCGCCCAGACATCAGAGAGTAGCTGGTCATGGTTGCCGCAGCGCTTCCGCAAACGCTTGAACGCCCCGCCAAATACACAGAAAGACTCATGCTTTTTAGTTATCTGTCGTGATTGCAATGTTTGCAACGGCTGAGCTGTGTCAAGTGCCGTTCATGGGTGGTTGGCCAATGGCCTTTCATGTATACGGTAAGGTTTTTCAATTTTTCGCTTACTTCCTGCCCAACAAAATGGGACTGGTAAGACCTGGCACTGGTTCAGAGTCACCATCCGTTACGGAAACACAACGGGGGTCACATTCGGCCGCTAAAGATGGGGGTCGAACTTTTGCTGCAGACGCTCGTGCATGGCAGGGTGCTGGGTTTGGCGAGGCACTAGCTCGTTTTCCACCAATTCTTGTCGCTTGCCTGCCTCAAAAAATGGTGGACAGAGCTGCCGCCGCGCCATACCCAGCCCCCTGCCCTGCGTCTGCAGTGAAAGCGACTGTATTATATCGCGGGAGGAAATTTTTGATTCCCTTCCCCCTCCTCCCGACCGACGGCAGGTTTTGGAAAAAACTGTTTAAGAAAACTCTGTTTTTTTAAGAAAACTCCCGAAAATGGTAGGAAGTTGGGGGATGAGATCGGAGGGGACACAATAGGGTGGAGCTTCTGAAGGGGGAGGATTTTGCTGAAAGTTTCCCCAGCGGACGTTAATAGGAGGTGCCCCGTCCTATTAACTGACTGTGCTGTAAAACGACTATTTCTGTAGTTGACCGGAGTTGCCTATCACCTCCTCCCCGCACCCCTTCCCGAAAGCAAAATTTTTTTGAGAAGTTCGGAATGGTAGGGAGGATGGCAATGGGCACAGCTGACAGCAAACTCGTAGTGGTGGGGGGAAGGGTGTTCGTAATTTGCGAAAACTTTTCCGCAACGTGATGGTATATCCTGAGGTGAGAGAGAGGGTGGGTAGATAATGGTCGTAACCAGGTCTTGCTTTCTCTCTCCCCTCCCCTCTCACCCTCCGCCCACTACTCTACTACCGAAACTTCTAGAATTGCAAATGATTCAGGTATTCTTGGTGTGCTGCTTTGCATTCTTTGGCAAGTTTTGTTGCTGATGATCCCGCGAATGCCAGAGGCATCACTAACGCAGAAGATTCAAATCATCACGAACTCAGCCGGTCGGCGACCTCGTGTGCAGGTAGTTTTGAAAGATTGTAAGACGCAGTATGGCTTGGTGGGGGCACCTATGAAACTCAGGCGAGCTTGTACAGGTCACCTCGTGAAATCTGTA